CACAAAATGGTCATCGCCCTCAGATGGAGCTGAAAGGGTGGGGGGGGGCCTGCTACCAGGTGTGGGGGCTCACACAGACCACCTGCCCTGTGAGGAGCAGGAGGCCTCAGGCCCTGGGGCCCGGAGGCTGTCACCTTCCAGGCAGCCTTGATTTCTGTAGTTTCCTCGTCTGCGAAGGTGGGGAGGAGACTGTCCTGGGTGGTTTACTGGGGCCAGTTAGCCCACTGGACTCCGGACCCAGGTACTGGATTCCTGCTGAGGTGCCGTCCTCTCCTGTCCAGAGGCCCTTCTGCGCCCAGGCTGCCGCTTTCCAGCTGTTCCAGAAGCTGGCTGCTGGGTAGCAGTGGTTCTCCCCTGGCTCACTGGGGACCGCCTTCTACTCCTCCATTTTCACCCGGCATCACGTGACTTCACCAGGGGGGCCCTGGTGTCCTGGCATCTTTCAGTGGCAAGAGGCAGGCACCTCCTCAGACTCCCTCCAGGCAGAGGTTTTCTGGGTAGAGTCAGGGGTTGTGTGCACCATGGACCCCACGGACGGGAAGCTCAGCCAGGCCTCTCCAGGGGTGGAATTGGAGGACCAGGAGAGGTTCTGTGTCTGTGTATGCTTCCCGTCTGTCCGCGCAGTCTGTCTGCACCACTGGCCTCTGCCTGTGTCTCTGTGTGTGTCTCGGGGGCTCTGCCTCTTTGTCTTTCTCTTTGTCTCTGTTTTCTGTGTTTCTTTCCTCTCTGTCTCCGTCTTCACCTTTCCCAGTCTGTAGCTTGGGTGAGGCAAGTAAGATGCCCAGGGCATGGCATTTAAGGAGGCACTCACTCTTGGCTGCTGACCCTGTCCCTGCATGAGCCCCAGAGTTGAGTGCTTCCTTAAATGTGTGTCCCTGGCACCTTGCTTGCCTCATCCTGGTACAGGCCCTGTTTTTCTCTGTCACCCCTCCTCCTCTTTGCCTCTCTGACTCCCTCCTAGAGCTGAGTGCGTGTGTCTCTCTTGTCACATGGTCTCTAGTCTCTGCTCAGCTCCAGCATCTTGATCTTCCTGCTCCTCTGGGCACATGGCTGAGGTGGCTTGCTCCCCAGTCCAGCAGTTCAATTTTAAATTTCCTGGAGGCAAATGCAGCCCAGCTCGGGTCAGCCACTCACCCCTTGTCCAGTCAGCTGTGTCCGGGGGCTGGGGTCCCCCAGCCCTCAGCAGGGGCTTGAGAACAGGCTCCCTGAGGTGGGACGGCTCAGCAGGAGACCCTCTTGGCATGGATCCCCAAGTCCCTCACAGCTTTGCCCCAGGTTTGCCTGGGAATTATGGAAAAACAGAGCCAGAACTAAGTTTGAGAACAGAAAAGACAGGCTCTCCTCCATCCCCTAACCCCCATCTCTTGGTTCTTTAACTGTCTTGAATGTCAAATTGCCTCCTCCTCAGGCAGCCTGATTCTTCCAGCTGCATCTGCAGAAGAAACTGTCACCTCCTGTTCTGGGTTCCAGTTTTAGATGCCTGAACTGTGTGATGAGAACAGTCTGCTGTCTCTCACCCACTCACGTCCCAAATGCTTTAATCCAGGGAGCGGCAGGAGGAAGGGCAGCAGCCTTGACTCTGGGGATGAAAGAAGGCTTGAGGAGGGCTGGGGGGGGGGGGGCCAAACGGTCCCATTTGGGGCGTGAAGACCACACAGGCCCAGGCAAAAAGAGCCAGAGTCAGCCCGTGGGGATGGAGAAGGCTGAGGGGCACCTCCCAGTGCCATATATCTGGTGGGGCCTCAGCAGCTGTTTTCTCCAGTCCTCTGGGTGGCTCTTAAACAGCAGCAGGAGGATTTGGGGGGAGATGCAGCAGTGCCCATCGGGAAGGTGTGATGATGGAGCGTTGGGGTCATTTCTTGCCTCATTGGGAGATGTCAGCCAAGGTGGGGCATGGATGCAGAAAGGCCTGGGGGTGACCTTGGAAGCTCGTGCCAAGTGGCTGTGGAACTGGAGGCTTTGGGCTTCGGTGCACAGCCCGGATACCTTGAGGACCTGCTCAGGCTTAGAGCATTCCTGCCACAGCCAGCAGGGCCCTGTACCCTGAGTCTAGGCTCTGCCTTCAGCCAATGTGCTTCTGAGAAGACAGGACCCAATCCCCAAGCTTTGCTGGCCACCTGCAGACAGAGAGGCTATCCCAGCAGAAAGGCTTCTATGAGCACTGGGGAAAAGGTTATGCAGATACCAAAACAGGCCATAGTTACTTTTTATATGATAGAATCCAAGCCTGTGTCATTTTTCTCCATAATCCTTTGTTCATTCATTCACTCATTCGACTAACATTTGCTGAGCTCCTACTAAGTGCCATGCTTTGTGCCAGGTGCTGAGGATGCCGAGGTCCCCAGCGGGGAAGCCAGGTCCTACGTAAACAGAGAATTATGGTGGGAGAGGATAGACCCCTACAGCAGGGCGCTCAGAGTGCTGTTGCAGCACAGCCAGGGCCGTTAATTCTATCCGGAGTCCAAGGAGCCTTCCTAGAGGAGGTGACATTTGCTCTTGAAGGTTGAGTAAGAGTTTTCCAAACGGGAAAGGAAGGCCATCTCAGGAGGGCCTGGCTAGCTTGCAGAAAGATGAGAGGTTTGGGGCAGATGGTGATGGCAGGAGGGGATCACTGTGGCTGGAAGAGCGGGTAGAGCAGCCCTCTGTCTGGGCATCAGCCTGGCCCAGTTGATTTCTTAAACTTCCAGGGTTCGGCCCTCGTTGAGCCTGCTGCTAGAGCGGCTTCTGTTCGCCCCCAACTTGATGTAGGATGAGGCCCTGCACTGGGGTGGGGTAGGAAGCTGGGTCTTGGAGGACAGAGGTTGTGTCTCCTAGGAAACGGCTGCTCTGCCAGAACCCAGGGTGTTCTGGGGGAGGGGGGAGGGGCCCGGAGCCCAGCAGCACTCAGGTTGCACACATCACCTTAGCAGTTTGTGGGCAAACCCTCTTGGCCGAGGGGAGATTGCACCGCCTGCCACTTCCTCCAGTTCCTTCCCTCTGCCTGTCGTCACGGTTACCTCTGCTTTGTTGGGGGTGAGGTTGAGGTTGGGCGGAATCAATTTTGTCCAGGTTTCTATTTTCCCAGATGCGGGTCAGCCAGAGGAGCTGTCACTTCTGGTTCTGTTTCAAAGGAGGCTGAGGGGCTGGGAGGTGCGTGGGTGCGGCCGTGTTGACAAGGCACCTCTCCAGCCAGCCTCCCAGGCGGAGTGGGAGTGGGGCAGAGAGGAGCTCAGAGGTGGTGGAGAAAGAGAAGGGGCTGCCCTGCCAGGGGCTGTGATAATGGCCTTGGGTGCTGGTCTCTGGCCCAGGCCCTGGGTCCTGACCTCCCAGAGCATGCTGGGAGTGCATGGAGAGAAGCTGTTTATTTTCCTGGCCCAAAGCCCTTTCGGCTGAGACCTTGTTCCAGGTCTCAGGCTGCCAGAATCACCCCCACTGGCTCGAGAAGTGAGACAGTTGGCAAGCCCAGAGCAATCCATGACCTCTCTAATGGCCTCTGACCCTAGGCTGTCCCCACACCACCTGGGCGTGTGTCCTCCAGATTCTCCTGCAGTAACGGACCATGAGAGGCATCACATCAAAGTGATCCTGATGGGCTGAGCCAGTGGGCAAGAGCAGGAAGGTTGAAGTCACAGAAATCCGAGTTGGAATGCCGACTGCGCCATTTCCTAGATCAGTGGTCGGCAAACTCATTAGTCAACAGAGCCAAATATCAACAGTACAACGATTGAAATTTCTTTTGAGAGCCAAATTTTTTAAACTTAAACTATATAGGTAGGTACATTGTTATTAACTTAATTAGGGTACTCCTAAGGCTTAGGAAGAGCCACACTCAAGGGGCCAAAGAGCCGCGTGTGGCTCGCGAGCCGCAGTTTGCCGACCACGGTCCTAGATGAATGGCCTTGGATATATTGAACTGCTGAGCCTCAGTATCTCCATCTGTCCAATGGGACAGTAATAGAACCTTCATCATCAGACATTTTGAGAATTATGTGGCCTATATTTAAAGCATTTAGCAAAGTAGGCAGCAAGCAGCAGCTCTCATTATTATTAACTAGAAGCCCAGCACACAGAATCATGCGTGAGCCACCACCTCAGGGAGCCGCCCCCACCCTCCAGCGCCATGCCAGCCGCTGCTCGCGGTGGTGGTGGTGGGGAGAAGGGACCGAGAGGTGCTCAGTGCACCGCATGGTGACCGGTCGTTTGGTCGTCCTGGTTGTCACGGACACTGGCTTCTTTTATATATAGATGACAGAAGAGCTGCCGCTTTGACTGGAAGCCAGTGTTGGTGGGCAGGGTTTCCTCCTTCCCATGTCCTGGGCCCTCTTTCATGCGTGGTGCATTTCCTAACGTGTCCTGGGGAGAAGTAAGTCCAGAGGCTCAGGAGGCCCTTCTGCCTGTGTCCTGTGCAGGGCACTTTAGGGAGCCTTGGGACCCTGGGATACAGGGCGGGGCCTGCGGGAGAACATGCAGGTAAGAGAGTTAGAGCCAGGTGAGGAGTCTGGGAGGCTGTTTAGTTGACAAGGAGATAAACCCAAGTGTTTGGAAGGACCAAGAGGGAGGAAGAAGGTACCTCAGGGAGGTGAGGGCAGAATGCAAAAGCTGCACCCACGCCCAAGGTGGTTTTGAAGGAAATGCCTGAGAACTGCTGGCCCGGAAAATAGTGCCCAGAGGGCTTGGGCTGGGCAGGAGAGCAGACCATCACCGTTGGGTGCTACCTCTGTGTGAGGAGACTCCCAGGTTCGGGCCTCCTGAACTCTGGCAGAACCCAGGCAGCCCTGCCCGCCTGGCACCCTGACTCCCCCCAGGGGTGCCCACCTGCTCCGAGAGGGTCCTCGGGCTGGCTGGGCAGTATTTCCATGTCACCAGCTGAGAGGCCAGGGAGCTGGCAGACTGGGACGGCTCCCTCACTGCTGAGACGTGAGTTAGGAAGCGGATTGTCCATCTGTCTGTCTGTGTGGCAGGAGGGAAGCTCTGCTCCAGGCCTGTCTCAGTGTCTAATCAGTGGCTCTCGGCCCTCACAGCTAGACGAGGAAGAGGAGCGGAGGAAAAGGCGCCGGGAAAAGAACAAAGTGGCGGCAGCCCGATGCCGGAACAAGAAGAAGGAGCGGACGGAGTTTCTGCAGCGGGTGAGCAGGGCAGCCGGCCGGGCAGGGAGGGGGCTGTGTGATCAAAAGACGTCATCAAACGCTGCGGGAATCGATGAGTACCTGCTCTCCCCTGCCCCCGTCTGATGCCCCATCCTGAATCAAGACAGCCAAGGGCAGCCTGCAGCAGCTCCAGCCCAGCCCACCCAGATCCCGGGGGGGCCAGAGAAGGTGGGAGCAGCCACGCTCCCTCCACTGAGGTCAGACCCTGGTGCTGACGGACCCAGTTGGCCCAGGACTGGTACTACCCATTTTGGTACCCTGGTGGCTACCAAAGTTGTCTAGGGTGGGTGCTGGTGAAGTTGGTGATAACGCCATGCACGTGGGCCGTGGACACAGCACCTGGGCAGAGAAAAGCTCCTCCCTTAGCTGCAGGAGGCTCTTCCAGCTCTGCCCCCAGCTGGCTGGCCTCTGCTCCTGCCCCCGGGGACCAGAGTTCAGCTCTGATGCAAAGGCCAGAGGAGGGCTGCCTTTCCTCTCGGCCCTCAGAGCAGGCCCCTGCCCTTTCACTGGAACGTATCAAGCAGGCGATTGTTCTTTCTCTGCTGAGTCCCATCAGAGAGGCCTTTCCTGATTCTCAGAAATGGCAGATGGCAGTGAAGGAACGTGACCAGAGAGTCCAGGCCAGTGATCTCCAGCTCCACCCCCCCCGCCCCCACCGCCAAGCCCTTCTTCATTAAATAATAAGGGTAACAATATATAATGATAACAGCATGGGCCAGGCTCTGTTCTACAGTATGCAACCATGAACAATAGTTGCTAATTTTTGTAAAGTTGGTCACTGTGCTAACTGCTGTGTGTCTATTATCTCATTTTATTGGCAGAATAACTATGAGATACATGCCCTCATGATTCTCTTTCTGCAGATGGGGAAACTAAGGCATAGCAAGGTTAAAAACTTGCCCAGGTCCCTCAGCAACTAAGTGGTAGAACTGAGATTCGAGCCCAAGGGTTAACTTCAAAGCATTTGTTCTTTTTTTAAAAAATTTGTTTTATTGCTTAAAGTATTACAAAGAGTATTACATATGTCTCCTCTCTCCCCCCCCCCCCCCCCCCCTCCCTTCCTCTTAACACTCTGCTGTACTGGCTCTAGTGCATTCATTCATTTGTGCATTCATTTAGTTGTTTGTTTATTCTTTTACTCATCCACTGATTTGTTGACAAGTCTTTTTTAAAAATATATTTTTACTGATTTCAGAGAGGAAGGGATTGGGAAAGAGAGATAGAAATATCAATGATGAGAGAATCATTGATTGGGTGCCTCCTACACACCTCCCACTGGGGAATTGAGCCCACAACCTGCAACCCCGGGCATCTGCCCTGACTGAGAATTGAACTGTGACCTCCTGGTTTATAGGTCGACGCTCAACCACTGAGCCATGCCGGCTGGACAAGTATTTTTAAGAATGTACCAGGTGCCCAGCATTGTGCTATGTACACTGGGGGATACACATGCAGGAGCAGACATGGTCCTTTCTGTGGGAGCTGCAGAGAGAAAGCCAGGTTGGCCAACAAAATGCCACGGCGTCCCTGTGATAAACGCATGTGTGAAGCAAGGCGCCACACACCTGCTTGGTCTTTCCATGTGATGCAGATGTTCACACATAAGGCTGGGTTGACATACATTCATTTTAAGGAGGTGGATCTGTGCACAGTACTGAACACTGCATGTTGGACCCTGACCCTTAATGTGTCCATTTTTTAAAATTTATTTTATTTTTTATTGATTTCAGAGGGAAAGGGAGAAGGAGAGATAGAAACATCAATAATGAGAGAGAATCATTGATTAGTTGCCTCCTGCACGCCCCCTACTGGGGATCAAACCTATAACCTGGGCATGTGCCCTGACAGGGAATTGAACTGTGACCTTGTTCATAGGTTGACGCTTAACCGCTGAGCCACACCATCTGGGTTACGTAACTTCCACTCACTGTACCTACAACCTATTCCCTTCTCTGTCCTTCCCCACCACTCTCCAGAACAGCCCCTCCCCCAGGCTCACAGGCAGCTCTCGTCCCTGTCTCTCATTCTCCAAGACCTGCCAAGCTTTCCTGGAAATCCTCCTCCTCTTCTCCCCCTTCTCTTGCTTCCTGTTCTCTTGCTCACCGCTTAGAGTAAAATTCCTTAAGCCTCCCTAACCCTTCGGTTTACAAAGTGCCTTTCCCACGCGAGTCCAGGATCATCACCTTTTTAAAAACATATATATATATATTTTATTGATTTTTCACAGAGAGGAAGGGAGAGGGATAGAGAGCCAGAAACATCGATGAGAGAGAAACATCGATCAGCTGCCTCCTGCACACCCCCCACTGGGGATGTTCCCGCAACCTAAGTACATGCCCTTGACCGGAATCGAACCCGGAACCCTTCAGTCTGCAGGCCGATGCTCTATCCACTGAGCCCAACCGGTTAGGGCAGGATCATCACCTTTTTACCGATGAGAAAACCAGGGCTCGGAGAAGTTAAGAAACTTGCTGTGGACTCTTATTTGAAATCCTAAAGCTTTTTTCAGGCTGGCTCCACGCCACCTTCCCAGCTTTCTACGTACCCCACTCCGTCCTAAAATGACCTATGGTCATGATGGGCGACTTTATCTCCTAACCACTTCGTAAGCGTTTCCATGTCTGTGTCCTTGTTCACTCAGGGCTCCCTTCCTGCAATCCCTCACTCCCACCAACCTTCTCTACTCAACCAGAGAGTCCACCGGTTTTTCAAACCCAGCCTCAGACCTGGCCGTTCAGTCCCCTCGGAAGGTCTCCCAGACGCAGCCTGGCTGACGGGCACATAGTAGGCTCTGCCCTACTGTGTGGATTCTTCTTCCCCTCAGAGTGGAAGCCATACGAGAGCCGTGTTGGGGGCTCACGGGCTGGGTTTCTCCAGACCCCTCCTTGTGCTCACAGGTCCTCAGCAGATGCTCATGGGTGGGCGGGGCAGAGGCTCAGAATGACCCAGAGTCGGAGCCTGGGCTGGGGAGAGCCGGATGGTCAGCGGGTTTGTGAGATTCCCAAGGTCAGGAGCTCCTCAGACTGGGAGCCAGTGGCTAAGATGCGCACCTCCTGGCCCCAGACTGACGGGTCAGGGCCTCATGGTTTCACGTGGGGTCGCTCCTGGCCCTCAGAGGTGGACTTCTCTCGGGATTCCGAGAACAGTGGCCCAGGCCAGCCCCCCTGTGGCACCTCATCCTGTTGAACTAAAAACCACCATAGCTGAGTTTTAATATTTTCCCGCTGAGCAATTTCCCCCCTTTCTGTGAAGCCGCTCTCCCTCAGCATCTAGTCACGAGGACCGCACGTCTCAGCAGTCCCGAGGTCCCTGGACGCTGACGCTGCCCCCTCAGAGATGAGCACAAGGCACAGCTTAGTCAGACCGGCTGGTATGGGGAAGACAGCGCCCAGGGTGTGTGCGCCCCCCCTCCCCCCAGGTGGAGGGCAGTCATGGGCCCGAGCCAGGGCCACACGGCCTGTTGTCACACACACAGTTGCAACCGCAGCTTGTTCTCTGTCTAATACAGGTTGCTCAACCTCAGCACTGTTGACACTTGGGACAAGACAGTTCTTTCTGTGGGGCCACCCTGGGCACTGCAGGGCAGGCGTTCAGGAGCGCCCTTGGCTCCCAGCACGAGGTGCCAGGAGCAGCCCCCTCGCCAGTTGTGACAACCGAAAACATTGTCAGATGTCTCCTGGGAGGCAAAATTGCTCCTGGTTGAGAACTGCTGGCCTAAAACTTTGCCGGCCAAAGTTGAATAAATTCCAGCTCCCAGACTGGTTATAAGTTTTTAGACTCAGTCCAAGGAAAATCATTCAGGAGCTTTTCTGTTTCATTGTTTTGCTCCCCGAGGCTTTAATTGGTATGCCCCTCACTATCCACACGATAAACATACAAATCCCCAGATCAAACCAACATTCTTTCCTTTCCCCGGAGCCGCTCCAACTGAGCTGGAAGGTCATTGGAAATCTCTCCTGAGGTCTAGTGGGAACCTCACTTTGGGTCAAGAAGAATGACTGTTATTGCCTCTCAATGGGCAAAGCTTCTAGATAACAGGGTAGAAAGAGGCTGTCCAAACAATTATAGGCTAATAACCCGGAAGCACGTGCTGTAGAAGGAATTACACGACCATCCTTGTTCTTTCCATAGGCCAGAATTTCCGCAGCATGCATGTCACCCCTCAAAGCACTTGGCCGTTTCCCTGCCACCCAGGGGCCACCTCTGTGGACCCTCTGTGCACCTGTTGTAGGCCCACTCGGCCTCCAGTCTTCTCCCACCTTTTGTTTCTTGTACAAAAGCCCCGAAGCAGGAGAGTGTTGGGCATATTTGAATAACAGTAAGGAAGCCACTGTGTTTGGAGAGGATTGAATGAGGGCAGAGAGGTGGGACATGAGCCAGGCTGGCCCAGGCAGAGCCTGCCTGGGTTCATCTCCCTGGGGACGCAGGGCAGTGTCACAGCGTGACAGACACTGCTTGTAGAAAGTCACTTATCCCAGGGGCTGAGGAGCAGGTTCTGTGCTTCCTCCAGTGGGAACCTGGCGGACAGAAAGCAGGGAAATGTTGCCCTAGCCAGTTTGGCTCAGTGGATAGAGCGTTGGCCTGCGGAACAAAGGGTCCCGGGTTCGATTCTGGTCAAGGGCAACCTTGGTTGCAGGCTCCTTCCCGGCCTGGGCCCTTCCTGGCCTGGGCTCCTTCCCGGCCTGGTTGGGGCTCGTGCAGGAGGCAACCAATTGATGTGTTTCTCTCACATCGATGTTTCTCTCTGTCTTTCTCTCTCTCTTCCACTCTCCCTAAGAATCAATGGAAAAATATCCTCGGGTGAGGATTAGAGAAAGCAGGGAAATGCTAGCCTTACTCCTCCTCAAAGGCAGAGCCTGTCCCCAGAGCCGTTCCCCAGCCTGTGAAAGCTGACCGCCATGTCTCTGTGTTTGTGCACAGGAATCTGAGCGGCTGGAGCTCATGAACGCGGAGCTGAAAACCCAGATCGAGGAGCTGAAGCAGGAGCGGCAGCAGCTCATCCTGATGCTCAACCGGCATCGCCCCACCTGCATCGTCAGGACCGACAGCGTTAAGACCCCTGACTCAGAAGGCAACCCACTGCTGGAGCAGCTGGAGAAGAAGTGACCATGGGCTGGGAGGAGGAAGAGGAGGAGGAGGAGGAGATGGGGAAAGGGAGGAGGAGGAGGGTCCCAGAGGGCTCTTCCTTGCTTCATGAAAAACTCTTCAATGAGGCTCAGCACAGCCAGCAATGGCCAGGCTTTTTTGTGGAACTCAGATCAGCCACACCAGGGGAGGAAACCCAGGCTGATGAAACCCAGGACCAAGCTCTGAGACCAAAGTAGTCCTGAGGGTGGGGCCTGTTCTTCCTGGGGCCAGGCTTGCAGGAGGCAGGACAGAGGCTCTGGGCCGGAGAGACGCCCAACCAGGCAGCTGTGGGCACTTCTCCGGCCTCTCCGCCAGGGCACCCACCCAAAGGACCTCCGAGCAGCCAGGAAAAGCCATGAGTTGCAACCAAAATTCGGCTGAGGATGGAACTCAGAGTGAAACTGCTATCTGCCTGCCCCAGCCCTGACCATGACCCTGACCCTGATGCAAGGCTGGGGAAGGGCACAGTGCCAGGCCCTGCTGTGCCCACCCACCATGGTCCAGCTCGGTCCTGCCCGGAGTGGCAGCCGGGGCGCACCCTCGCCGGCCCTGCTGGAGTTGCTGTGGGCACGAGGCGCGGGCGCCCTTCCAAAGCACATACTCACTGAATGTTTACAGACTGGCTGTCCTGGCAGGGCTTTCAACTGCACATGTTTTTTTATACTTTCTTTTGTTTTGTTTTTTTAATATTTTTTACAAAAAAAAGATTTTATACAAGCAATATATAAATGGATTTCTATAATCACTCGATGTGATACAGTATAAATATGCTATGGTTTGTTTGTTACGAACAGATATTCAGCAGTTATGGCCGTTGCGTGTAACTCCTAAGTACTGTAGTCTCTGGGTGTTGGGGGTGGCAGGGGTGGGGGTGGGGTGCATTTCCATCCTGGTAAACCCTTCATAGTACTCAGTCCTGTATCGCTCAGTAAACATTACTCTTACTTACCCAGCTGCCTCTTGTGGTGTCTGCCTAGGGCATGGGGTGCAGGGCATGCTCAGTGGGCCTCCCGGCGTGTGGTGTACCAGAATGTTTGGAATATCTGCTGTAGGCCCCTTGGTTTTCACAGCAGCCCTCCCAGGTAAGTGTTGATGTGCCCATTTTACAGATGAGGAAGTCGAGGCTCAGAGAAGTTAATGAAACCTGCAGTACTTCGTTTATTCGCTCCACAAATGTTCACGGAGTGCCTCCACGTGTGTGCCAGGCACCCTGCAAGGCACAGGGTGGTCACTGGGGAATAAAACAAACCTAGGGCCAGCGTCGGTAGAGCTTCCAGTCCTGAGCTAAATCCTGGGCTTGCTCCATACATGGTCTCAGTTCATCTTCACAACAGTCGTGCCAGGGAGCGGCAATGGCCGCTGTTCGCAGGTGACGAATTAGAGGCCCTGGGAGATGAAGTTGCTGCCACCATTTGTTGACTTACAGTGTGACATATATGGTCTCATTTACTTCTCCCAACGCATGAAATAGGCATCACTGCCCCATTTTACAAATGACTGAACTGAGAGGGCACGTGACGTATCCAGGGTCACCCAGCTAGCGAGGGGCAGAGCTGGTGTCTGAACTCTGCCTCCAAGATCCCATGACTCTCCATTTGTCGCCAACTGACTGTGTGGTTTTCCCCGTGGCTGGATGTCTCATCTGATTAGAACAGGAAGCCTGTGAGGCCACGGTTTTACAGATTTAGTTTCCGGAAGGGCTGGATAGAGTTTGAGGCTATGTCATGTTCACGGAGTGAACCAGTGACCCAGGGAAACGCGTGCCTGACCCAGAAGACAGGGTGTGGCTAACTCAGCCAGGTCCTCACCTCTGCAGCTGAATACATGTCTCCGAAAAGCGAGGATGGCTCGGTGTGGTAGGCAATCATTGCCATCAACTCAGCACACAACAGTTCACCAGGCACTTCATGCGTGTTATCTCATTTCCAATCACAGCCCTATGAGGTAGGATGGGTAGGTGTTCTTAGCTCCATTGTCTAGTGCAAACTGAGGCTTACAAAGATGAAAGCTCACCCACCTGAAAAGAGGCGGAACTAGGAGCTGAACCCTACTGCCCTACTTCCTATGGTATATTCGCTCTTCTCCATCACTGGGGCTATATAACTAGTGACTGATGATGAGGTTCCAAGTAGCAATGACTGTGCGTTGCTTCCCAAATCATGAGCGAGGCCTTCTGGGATGGATGGGAAATGAGAATAGGTCATTATATGTTTGGTTCCTTACTCAAGTTCTCTCCACCCAACTCGTTTGGTGTGGGCTCCCTGAGCCCTGCCTTGGAAGCAGGGCCTGGTCAGCTCACTGTCAGCTGTGGCAGCCACGGTAAATCCTCAAGATGATAAATCCTTTGACATTTTTCAAGCTGTGAGAAAAACAAAGATGTAGACTTACAAGGGTCCCTCGAGTGACCTGGTAGAAGTTCCTGCCGCTTGCCCCTGGTCCTATGCTTGGATGCTGCGAGCCTGTACCTCCAGGATAGGGCCCTCCTAGCCTCTGCAGATGGGCTGCCTGCCAGGATCAGTGCTGTGCTGGGCCGAGGCCTGCCCTTGGTGTTTCTTCCTCACCAGGACCGCCACTCCCTGGGGGTAGCCAGAAGTCACAATCACAGTCTTCCTCATAAGAGCTAACGTTTGCATGTGTTCTGTGTCCCTGGCACTTAAATTTTATTATTATTACTAGGGGCCCGGTGCACGAAGATTTGTGCACTGGGGGGGGGTCCCTCAGCCCGACCTGCACCCTCTCCAATCTGGGAGCCCTCAGGGGAGTCCTCTCCAATCTGGGAGTTTCTGTCTTTGCAATCATATGAGCAAATTGTCTGAGACCCCCAACACAGTTTGGTTTGTTGCTCACAGAATAATAGAAGCTTTTTTTTTTTTTTCTTTGCTTCATTGGTGGAGATTTCCTGGAAGTTTTAGGATATCTTCCCTTTAATTTTTCCTAGATACTCTGATTTTACTTATGTCTCTCACCTCTGCCATCCCTCCATCCCCCACTGCAACAGTAACTTGCTCCAGGCTCACTTTGCTCTAGTGTCTAGGTCTAGGAGATCCGTCTGCCACCAGAACTACGAATCCCAGCATTCCTGGTGCTCCCTGCACTCTTGGTTTTCCCTTCCTGCTCTGTCTCTCTTCCATGGCCTCCCACTCTGCCAAGTCCTCCAAGCTGCCAGCTTTCCCTCTCTGCTCTCCATCTGGCGGCTTGAGGAGCCAAGTTCCCCAAGCAGCCACTCCATGTCGGCTCTCCCGCTCTGCTTTCCGCCCGGTGCCTGTGTATGCAAATTAACCCACCATCTTTGTTGGGTTAATTTGCATACTCACTCCTGATTGGCTGGTGAGTGTAGTGGAGGGACAGTCAATTTACATGTTTCTCTTTTATTATATAGGATTGCTTTTTAGAGGGAGAGAGAAACATCAATGAGAGAGCAAACATCAGTGGGTTGCCTCCTTCACGCCCCCTACTGAGGATCAAGCCAGCAACCCAGGCATGTGCCCTGACTGGGAATTGAACTGGTGACCTTTCAGTACATGGGACAACGCCCAACCAACTGAGCCATGCCAGCCAGGGCTGTGCCTGTCCCTTTAGGTGTTACTGCAGCCGGTCCATATGACCTTGCTGGGAGGTAGGTGCCATCATCTCCATGTTACAGATGAGACAGCAGAGGCACAGAAAAGAAGTCACTTGCCCAAGGTCACAGTCCTACTGGGTGGCAGAGCCTGGATGTTCTTACAGTCTGACTCCAGGTGTACAAACACAAGGGCCAGGCCTCACCCTTTGGGGAAAGCTCCGTGTTTGTGGTGTGACCTCCATTACGGTGAAACTTGTGGGGGAAAACATTGAGAATTCCCAACTCTCAGATACCCATCTCCAAATGGACATAAGAAGACATACTTTAAAGGTAAATGGGTTCAAAGCCAATATTCTGCTGACTAGCCATGAGCCTCACTTTTATCTGAAAGGTGGGATGTAACCCAAGCCTTGTTTATGGGGTTGTCAGGCTCAAGTGAGGAACGCATAGGATATTGCCTTGTGAAATACAAAGCTCCATAAGATGGTAATTTCTTGTCCTCTGTTAGTGTGGACAGTTCTTGATATTTACCACACAGTACAGATTATGCAAATATCTTTTATTCTCTAAATACCTTTTATTCTCTAAAGGTGGCTGCAGACAGAGTGTGTGTTCTGGCCATCAGTCCGGTTCCCACGGTGATGAGTGCCTGGGATCCAAGACTCCTGGGTTTGTTTGGCTCCTGATTGGCCACAACTAGCTTTGTTGGGCTCATCATTCTTTCCGTGAGCCTCCCTACGCCCTCCCGCCGGGTGTCCTCTGTGCTGAGTGGCCATGAAAATCAACTGTGCAACGTGAGAAGGATAAAGCTTAGTAGCAATCAGATGGGCAGACACTAGTACATATTGGCCAGGATACGGATTAAAGAGACCGCACATGCAGTGCCAGTGGGAAACTGGTGTGACTACCCCGTCAGGCAATTTGGCAATAACCAGTGATGCTAAAGCTAAGCGCATCCTTTGACCTAGCAATTCCCCTTCTCAGTACATACCTTGGAGGAACTCGAGCACAGGGGCACAAGGCAATGGACAAGAATGTTCGCTGACGCTTTGTTTGTAATAAAGAGAAATTGGAAACAACCTAAATAGCTAGAAACGGAAGAGCAGATAAACAAATTGTGTTTTCATAAAACCGAATATTATTCAGCAGTTAAAAAGAATGAACCAGGGCTACAGGTATCAATGTGGACAAATCTCAGAAACAATGCTGAGCTGGAGTAAAGGGTGCAAACTGAAGAGGGACAGAGGCAGTGTTACCATTTATGAATCTTCCTAAACATGTAAATTGGTATTTTACTGTTGATGGGCACAAACAGATCTGAGTACTAGAAGTAGAAAAGCTTGCCAGGAATGCTCTAAATAGCAAAATGGGAAAGGCTCCTGGGGGTGGGAGAAGGGGAAGTGGGGATGGCATCTACAAAGGTAAGGAGGACACTGGGTTTGAACTGTGTGTGCAACGTTTCATTTCATTCATGTCTAATCTGAATCAAATTAGAATAATGTTAGAATTTGTCAGAGGTGGGTGATGTGCTCACAGACATGGGT